ATGAGAGTTTCCATCATTTCTTGCTATGAATGCTGAAAGTCATTAATCTAGGACACTGTAAGAAGGAAATAAACATCAATGTTTCCAGATGTACAAAGCATACTGAGGTCCTAATATGTGCTCTGATTATCCCAAATCCCTTTTCCATTGAGCAGCAGTGTTTTCTGGATATCATGATGTGACTCTAAGGCCCTGCCAAAGTTTGAAATTGTTTCCCTGAAATACATACTCAGAATGATGTAACCATTGTCACACAGTCACATGAACCTGTCCCTGGTGACTATAGCTGGACCCAAAATTTCCTGCTGAAGTCTTTAAATGAGGAAACGATGACGAGGTTTCAGCACTGAAAAACTGTTTCATGTACACTTGGACATCTTACATGGGGAAAAGAGCTACCGGAGGGACTGGCTACTCAGAAGTGGACCTGGTGAGTGTGGGTATTGTGATGTACATCATGATAACTCTGTCTTTCCTTCTACGCTGAATGCTCATTTCTTTGGAATGCGGTAATATCTTATTTGAAAAGACAGAATGAATTAAATCAACACAGACCTACCTGCATGTGCTGAAACATGAGGCCTACCTCAGTTATGTCTAGCCCGAAGAAAACAACTTGAATTACGACCAGCATTTTAGATTGACTTAAGAGTGAAGTTGAGTTGCAGTGATAAGGAAATATTCTACCTCACTCAAAAATGTACTGGACACAGAAGAATCTCTGCCATTTTTGTGCCATAAAAATACTACCTCAGTGGGAGAGCAGGTCCTTAGCATGGCAAGTTTTCTAGGTCCTGGGTTAGATCCTAAAAAAGAAAGAGAAAAAATAAGAAAAGTAAAAAAGAATGGAGGAGGAAGACAAAAAGAGAAACAAAAATAGAAAGCAAGTTTATTTCACAATAAAATACAAACTAAAATTTTAAATAAGATAACTTATGCAAATTATTGTACTCTTTATTTTTATTTAAACCAGAATATTGGAATTTTTTCTTTTTTAATCATGTTAACTAATATATTTTTAGTGACTGATTGTTTTACAGCCTTTGCACATTAGACAGTGAAAATCAATTACAAGAATGTTTTTTACCATACTGCTGCTTACTTAGTATTAAGATATGTTATTGTCACATACATGAAAGAAATTACTAACATAGGGAAGACCATGAGTGGCATAAATTTTAATGTAGGGGGAAATTATAACCAGAGCAACTATGATAATGAACATTTTAGGTTGAAGCAGAATATCATTCAGACTAACACAGAATCATGCTAATATGTTAGGAGAGTCAGGCACTAAACATCCCTGTGATCCCATGGTGCAGAATTTAATAGTTATGAAGGAATTTTCCACACTGTGACTTTTCCTGGGCTCAGTGCTTCTATCTTCTCAGGTACAAGCTGCATCCCCCACAGATGTGCAACTCCACCACGACAATGGACTTTCTCCTCATGGAGATCTCTGACATGCGGGATCTACAGCTTTTCTATGCCATGATCTTCTCTCTGATTTATCTGATGACTGTAGTGGGAAACCTGGTCATTGCTGCTGTCACCACTCTTGACAAGAGCCTTCACAAGCCCATGTACTTCTTCCTCAGAAACCTGTCCATCCTGGACTCCTGCTACATTTCTGTCACTGTCCCTAAATCCTGCATGAACTCCCTGCTGGGCACAAGCTCCATTTCAAAGGCAGGGTGTGGAGCTCAGGTCTTCCTTGTGTTGTACTTTGCATTTGTAGAGTTACTGTTTCTCACCATCATGGCTCACGACCGCTTTGCAGCCATCTGCAGGCCCCTCCATTACCCTGTGATCATGAGCCCTCGCCTGTGTGTCCACAGCACACTGGCCACTCTGCTCACTGGCCTCATCTATGCAGCCCTGCACACCCTCAACACCTTCCGACTGCCCTTCTGCCAGTCCCACGCTGTCCAGCAGCTCTTCTGCGACATCCCCTCTCTGCTGAAGCTGTCTTGCTCTGACACCTTCAGCAACCAGATCACAGTTCTTATCTCTAGCCTGGTGACTGGTGGTGGCTGTTTCACTTATATCATCAAGTCTTATATTCACATCTTCTCTACCGTGCTCAGGTTTCCAGAGGGAGCAGACAGGATGAAGGCCTTTTCTACCTGTGTCCCCCACATTCTCGTGGTGTCTGTCTTCCTAACTTCATGCCTTTATGTCTACCTGAGACCCGCTGCAATGTCTGTTGGAATTATGGACATGATCTTGTCGGTTTTCTACTCTGTAATCCCTCCCTTCTTTAACCCTATTATCTACAGTCTCAGAAATGAACAGATAAAGTGTGCCATCAGGAAGCTTGTGACAAGAACGTTCTACTCCACTGCTATACTGAGAATTAAGAAGCTTTTCTATTCCGACTTAATCATAGTCATGCTTTTAGCAATAGATGCAGGTAAGTGATTAAAGTTATTCCATACCACTTGTGTGAATTTAATAGATTGGCCTTTTAAACTTTTCATGTAACAATGTTAATGCTTTTAAGTTCTGATGAGTTTAATATGGGCAAGCGACATGCAAAGAACTGATTGATACAAAAGAAGTTCGAATTCCTTGACATCTCTTATTTCCCCCACAAATCTCCTGTGCTTAGAGATGGCTTTCAGAAAGTGAGAAGATCATGAGGACACTACACTAACCACGGTGAAAAGCTATATAGAAATTGTGGAATATGAAGCATGTTGCTAAAATCCTCACACAGCATAGGGATAAATCCTCCTGTGAATCAAACAGAGTGAAAGAGAGAAAAAGAAGGAGAATGGCACATAACACAACAAAATCTAAGATACACATTATGAAATATTAGAAGAAAAAATATTGGAATTGGTTGGGAAAAATTCAGGCCTTTATTCTGGCTTATTTACTCCTATTGATTGACAAAATTTTATGAATTCATTGTATATAAGATATTGTACTGAAAGGTGCGTATATTTTTAGAAAGATATTGTGAAAAAATGGAAGTGGAGCTAATAACTCGAGTGAAGAAACAGACATATTAATTAACTAATGCTTCATGGGTTACTCAGGAGCTAAGGCTGCTAACCAGAAATCCTCCTGTCTGTGTTCACTCCAACCACTCACAGCTCTGGGGAGCCTGGGCCACAGGTATGCGGATTCCCCCAACTCTGCTCTCTCCTCAGAGGTGAGACCTCATGGGAAGCGCCACCCTAACCCAAACTGGCTCTTGTCACTCTCCCTCAGATTGTTATACATTAGTATGTTTATCCTAAAAAAAACAAGAAATAATTTACCACATAGGGTGATTTATTAAATTACCATATAATGAATATCCTTATTTTTACCTCACTTGTTCTTGTTTCCTTCTTCAGAATGTGAAGTGCACAGGGATTATATATATATATATTTTTTTTTTCTTAACACTAACAGCAATGGTGCTTATTCAATTTAAGCTGTTTGTGCAGCACGATTACTAATATTGTTAATTATTGCCAGTTGAAAACTTAACAGGGTTTCAAGCTACAGAAAGATTTATATGAAAACAAGGAAATCTATTGACAGATCCTGAAGAATATAGATCACCCCCATCATGTTAAATTTCCTCTAACTAAATAGCTTGAAACTAGATTACCAGCATTGTATCTATTGGTGGAAAAAGAGGTGTTTAAAACATTACTTTAAACAAAATGGAAGAAATTATATTAATATAGTCTTTGTATATAATAGAAAACTGAAGATGAAAAATATTTTTCAGACAATATAGAAAGGTAACAGAAAATATGAGTTTAATATAAAAGTAAAACAATTGTTCTTGTATTGAAAAATCTTTGATGCATTAAATAGCTTATTAAAGTAGTATTGCCCCAAATTAATAGAAAAGTGAAAAGAAAAAAATCTTCAATTTAGAAAGCAATTTCTATTAGAAATAGAAGGTAAAAAGTTAAAATTGTAATGCTAAAAATTTCTACATGTATTAAAAAAAATTGCACTATATATCAAACAAAGCAAGGTTTAACTAAATCACCCTTCAATGTGACAAAATGTCATTCTATATATTAGGTAAAATCTATAATGATTTCTAAGTTGAAAAGAAAATTTTTCTTACTGAGGAATTATAAAAGTAATGGGACCTCTCCTTCTAGTCTAACACACTAAATTTTTTGGTGAATATATTCTCCAAAGATGTACATGTAAGAGGATCATAAAGGTTATCAGGTTTCAGGTGTGGTTTATCCTACGGTCACCTGTTGGACTGTAGCTCAGAGTGGTGGTGTGGAGCTGTGGAATCTCTGAGACCTGAGGCCTTAGTGGCACATGGTGAGGTCTTTTGGAGTTTGGGTGCTCTGCCAGCAATGAGAGAGCCTCCTTATATAAGGATCTACAGGATAGACGAGCATGCTCAATGAAACAGTGGGGCAGAGTTACAGAACATGTCTCAGAGTGGGCACAGCTTTACAGAACATTCCATAAAAGTCACACAGTTCAGACAGTCACAAACCATTCTGATACACTGAGCAACAGCTCAGCAGCACATACTTTTATTTCCATAATAAAATATTCTGTGGAAAAAATGGACACAAAATAAGGACCTGTTTTATTGCATAACACATCTAAATCATTGTAGGACAGGCCTGACTGGATTCAAATTGGGACCTAAGGGGGCTTCACAGAATCCTGAAGCAAGGTCCCAATTATTGTCCCAGACACCTAGACTACCTTGGGACTCAACCTTGCCTAGGAGAAAGCACCAGCAGGAAACAGCCCTGCTCCAGTCACACCAGGAACTGAATAGTCTATGCAGAGCTGACGTCTGAGGACATCATTCAGAAGACAGGTGGAGTCACTCTACAACACTGCTGTACCTTGGACTTACTAGCAGTGGAGATGGGAAGGACTTGTATCTTTCTCAGGGAAGACTGCTGTTTCTATGTTAACAAATCCGGGGTCATTCATTAAACTGTAAAAGGTCTCCAAGACAGAGCTGCCAAGATCCGGGAACAATCCTAAACCAGAGGGTTGTGGAATTTCTCCTGGGGTAAGTGAACAACATGGTTTGCCTCTCTACTTGGAACCCTGGGCCCCATCTTCCTACTGCTGATGATTGGCCCTTGTCTGTTCAGGTGCCTCAGAGAGCTCCTACAAGACTGAGTCCAGGCTCTCACAAGACAGTCTATACCACAGTTTCTGGTGAGATCTCACCTGAACTATGACCCTGTAGCTACTAATCATGCCTTCTGAGGCCACACCTAAATAGGGGAATCGGAGGGGGGAAATAATAGAGAAGTGCTTTACAAAAAGACAGGCCCTTGCCTTGCCCCCATTTTCCCCCACAGAATATTTTGTTTTGGAAATGTAAGTTTGTGTTGCTGGGTTTCTGCCCAATGTATCAAAATGTTTTGTGACTGTGTGAACTGTGCGAATGTTCCGGAATGTTCTGTTAAATTCTGCCTCCTCACGAGAAAGTTCTGTTAAGTTCTGCCTCCTCTTCAGAAATTTTCTGTAACTCCTCAGTTTGTGCCCAATGTATCAATAGAGTTTGTGACTGTTTGAACTGTGCATCCTTTCAGAAATGATCTGTTAAGCTTTGCTCACTCACAAGAATGTTTTGTTAAACTCTGCCATGTCTATGTAATATTTTGTGACTCCCTCATCTGTGCCCAGTGTATCAAAATGGGTTGTGACTATTTGAACTGTGTACCTGTTCGGGAACGTTATCTTAAGCTCTGCCTCCTCAGAAAGTTCTGTTAAGCTCAAACTCCTTTCAGGATGGTTCTGTAACTCTACCCCACTGCTTCAGGAGTGTTCTGATACTGCCCCCAGCTGCAGTGAGCATATATACATGGTATGCATTTCAAGAACATCCTCTAACTCAGCCATTCTACTTCACAAATGTTCTGGAAATTTGCCCCTCTTACATTGAGCATGTTCACCTACCTTGTAGATCCTCCTATAAGGAGGCTCAGTTTTTCCAGACCACTCAGACTCCTCTGATCCCACCAGACCTTACTGGCATAACAAAAGTTTGTTTTTTTCCACCTGTTCAACTGACCATCAGATTCTCAAGTCTTCAAAAATGAAAGCAGTGACTCAGAGCTGCAGTATTGAGCTGTAATGCTCCACTGAGTCTTTGGCGTTGTGGTGCTATTATGCCCAAGTGTTGCATCTTCAAGAAGACCACCACTCACATATGTAACATGCAAGAACACTTTATTAGCACAGCATGCAGTGGGTCTGCCAATCTAAGACTGACACCCCAAAAAGAAAAGCAATTTCAAGCTGCTTTTATAGGGTTTGGGATACATTAGTCCTGATAACAAGCTTTACCTCTATTATGATTGGATATATTTTTATTTCTTAACTCTGTTGGATGTTGCTAAAGGTCTAGAGTGCTAGGGGCTGAGCAGAAAGGGGTAACTCAGTTGTGGTGAGGGCAGGCCAGGTGTCCCTCCTGCCAGGACTTATCTAAATAGAACAATCTGTTATTGTAGTTGTTATTTCCCTTATAGCTCAGGTTGTTATGCAATTTTTAGTTGAGCAATCTCGGGGTCAGCCTATATACAAAATGGAGTTTCTTTTTAAAATGGTTAATTTGGTCCCTTCAGTGCTTGGCTGCAACACAGAGCTGTAGCACTTAGCAACACTTAGCCTCTAAGCTGAGGTTCATAGTTGCAATACTGAGTTGTAGCACTCAGCAGTGCCTCAGACCTGTGCCACTTAGCTGAGACACTGAGTTGTATCCCTTGGCTATAGCACAGAGATGCTCTCCTCTGCCTCAACAATGGGAGAGTTGAATGCGTTATATGTTTTCACAACAATGACAGGTTGGTATTGCATATAAGAGAAACTAATCTGGTGGGAAAAGTGATCTTTAATTATAAAGACATTTAAAAAAATCCAGCTTCTTCATTCTAAGAGTGGATGCCAGTATTTTAGCCATCCTGAATGTAGGGAAGTTTGCAACTTCCCTGTGGCCTCTAGGAAATCAACCCTAGTTCTGTCTGTGAGTGCCTATTTCTTGCTTTTACTCCCCCCACTTTCTACATTCTGGGGCTCTGCATACTCCAAGGTACTGAATAGCTGTCCTAATACTTTGATCAAATTGTGATTAAACACATTTCCATTTTCTCATATTTTTAATGGCAAGAAGACAAATAATCCATTAGCAAGGCCCTAGATTTAGGCCATTGAACAAGATGCCAGGCAACAAAATAAAAACAAGTAACATAAAATAAAAACTAGAAATTTAACAAGGCTATAGCCATGACTAAAGTCAGGATAAAGTCTGATGATATCTGGGCCTCCTGTTATATTCACCTCTTTTACTACATTCAAGCTGGGAATAGCTGTCCACTTGGCTCCACATGTGGGCCTGGTCCTCATTTATGGAATTTCTGTTTTGGAGTCTACAGTTACCAACAAGAGCATGAGGCCCACTATCGTCAACTCTGCTCAGCCTCATACTCAAAAGATTTACCAGAAAAATTAGGCAGAGAAATAAATGAAAGGGATAAATATAGGAAACGAGCCAAATTGTTGTGATATGCAGATGATATGATAATTTACACAGATTACCTAAAGAATTCCACCAAAACCCTCTTAGAATTCATAACAAATTTAAATGTTAGAAGTATACAAAATCAACACACAGAAATCTATAGCATTTGTGTAGACCTAAGGAGAAAGCAATTAAAATAAAACCATTTAAAATTTTGTCAAGAAATATCAACTATCAAAAAATTAACTTAACCAGAGTTTAAAAATTGCTGTGGTAAAAATGACAATCCTCCAAATAAGAGGTTGAAAAACACATCAAAAAAGGTGAAAAAATCTGCTATGTCTGAACAGGCAGAATCAGTACTGTCAAAATAGCCATACTTTCAAAACTGATAGATTTAAAGGGTATTCAATCAAAATAGCAATGTCATTGATTACAGAATTAGAAGAAAAAATCCAAAATTAATTTGGAAAAAGAGACTCAGAACAGAAAAAGCAATTCTGGGCAACAAGAGTATAGCAGGAAGCATCACAATACCTGACTTCATGTTACAGTCCAAGGTTAGAATGATAAAAATGACATGGTGTTGACTCTAAAATAGTCATATGTGCCCCCAAAAGTAGAAGACGCAATTCAGAGATCCCTAGACTCATTCAGGTGTCTGACTTCTGACAAACTGACCAAAGCACACCTTGGAGGACAGACAGCCTCTTTAGAATATGGCCTGGGAAACCTGACACTCTATTGTGAAGACTGATGCTGGACACATATCTCCTACAATATACTGAATCAAAGATGGAATGGATCAAAGATCTAGTGATTAGAATCCAAACAAGTAACCTCCTGAAAGGTAAAGTAGGAAAAATTTTTGATGTCATAGCTGTACACAAGACTTTTTGAAAAAAAAAAAGAAACACAAGCAAAATCAATAAATGGGATCATATAAAATAAAAAAGCTTGTGACTAGCAAAGGAAACAATCAATGAAGTAAAGACACAACCTACAGGAAGGAAAATCATTGCAAACTATTCTACAGATAAAAGAGTAATATTATATATATATGCATTTCACAAAAATTTATATATACAAAAATAAAAGACCCAATAAAAATGGGCAAGAGAAGTGAACAGATACTTCTCAGAAGTACAAATGGCCAACAAACATGAAAAGATGTTCAGCATCATGGCCACTAGATAATAATAAATGAAAACAAAAAACATGTGCTTTCATCTTACACCAGAAAGAAAGGGAATCGTCAAGAAATTATAGGTTTCCTGAAAAGGAACCCTTGTACACTGTTTATGGGAATATAAATTAGTATAGTAAATGTGAAAATCAGTATGGAAATTTCTTGAAGAAATAAACAGAAAATCCATTTGACCTAGGTATCAAAATTCTGGATATCTTCCCCAAAGTGTTAAAAACATCATGTCAGAGTGATGCAAGTATGTCTATGTAGCAGCAAAATTCATGATAACTAGCATCCTACGTGTCCACTGACAGAACATTGGATCGATTGAGAAAATGTGGTATTTACACACAGAGGAGGACTACTCCGTCATAATAGATACGTTTGAATCAATTGTAGGAAAATGAATGCACCTTGTCATGGCTTTTATTTAGTTGTCCACCCAAAGCTTCGGTCCCTCACAGAAGCGGCTCCGCAGAGGTACCTAGATTTAAGATATATGAACAAGATTGTTGGGTGAGAAAACTGGATTAGTTAACTGCTTTGATTCACATGATTCTGCATGTGGCTGAATGGATATATGGAAAAGAGAAGACCTATCCTTGGTAGGAGTGGCACCAACCCATAGGCTTGTGCTCTGGATGGCTTAAAAGGGAAAGGGAGGCCGAATGTTACTGCTTCCTCCTGCCTGCTATGTCAGAAGCCATTTCCCCTCTGCACTGCCCCTCTGTGATGCAGCCCTGCCTTGAAGACTCTGACTCTGGACTGAAGCCACTACAAAATATTAGGTAAAATAAGCCTTTCCTCCCTTAACTTGTGAGTGACAAAGACACATTTTTATGCCATAAGCTTAAGTTCAGTAAATCAGAAACTCAAGGTGCAATATCTAATATTTTCTCTTTCATGAGAAACTGAAATTAAAGTGCAAAATAAAGGTTTGATAAAAGGAAACAGAGTAACACATCTTTTGTGTGAAACACCTTTAATTTATTTAAATATAACCATAACATGTTGCATTTGAAGTTTCAGAAACATGTTCACGGGCAGTTTCCTCCCACTTCTTTCTCCCACATGCAGATGTAATTTATATAGAAGCAGGGATCTAAATAAGCCACTCACCATGGACTCACATACATTTACATAATCTTCTTTGAGGGGAAAGTATTAAATCAATTGTAACCTGTTTGGGCCTGCATCCAAATAATGTGCAGGCCTGTTTGAGAATGATAAGGTTTGGATTTGTAAGAGGTCATATGCATGCATTACTCAGTTAAGTGAAGGAATTTATACTTTATTATAGAATACTGTACCATCTGCCAGATGAATATCACTAATTAAATTTGATCTGGTG